GCTTAGTTATTCCTTTATATAATCACTCTTATCTTTCCTCTTCTTTAAATTTCGCCATTTTCTTCTTATCTTCCTCCTACAATACATAGGAAACTTCATCTATCTTCGATTCCATTGTCACATTTTCGTCGATTTTCGAAAACACGTAAAAATGGGGCTCTCAAACGGGACTTCTACTAAGAGAAAAGAAGTGAGGATTCCGCCAAGAAGAGGGAGTATCAAGATCAAGATATTTAAGCTTTTGTGGAAGAAAGTATGGTTCCAAGTGCCAGAAGCAAAGAAACGAGAAGGCAGTAGTAGAAGCGCAGTTGTATGTCCAACTTCTTATAAATAAAGTTATATAATGGATAGCCATGTATTAACAATTTAATTAGCCATATAGTGGTATAGATGATTAATTTTAATAATTAATTAGTTTTGTTACACGAGGTGGCTAATTGGTTTGTAATAATGTAGAAATAATGCTAATATAGAAAGCATGTGGAGTAATATAAACTCCCTTCGTTTTTAAATACTTGCTGCATTTCTCTAGGACATGTATTATGTCAATACTAATCTTTGATCAATAATATATTTAATTATCAATAAGTATAAGTTCTAACAATTGAAAGTACATAATCAATAAATAGAGACGATTCCAACAAGTATCCACAAGATTATATATTTTTTTAAGTATAAATCACAAACATTAGTCAAAGTGGGACAAATAAATAGTGCAAAATGTAGAAAATGAAACAAGTATTTAAAGACGGAGTGAGTAGAGGAATTTGGATTTTAAATCATAAATTGGTTTATACTCCGTACTCCATATTATGGTATTTGGGCCTTTGTTTGGTTATAGGTATTTGGGCCTTTGTTTTGTTTGGTAATATACGTAGATCAAAGGCCAGGGCCCTAAGGCCTAAGCTAGCTACCATAGAAAGCCCCCTTACTTAAGACATAGGAATAACTATTGGCACATAACACCTACTTCATAGCACCTACTTCCTCCGTTTTTATTTAGTTGATACGTTCAATTTAGGCACATATATTAAGAAGAGGAGAGAGAATGATAAAACAAGTGGGATACACTTAAAAAGCAAGATATAAAACTTACCCAAAAAGGAAACGTGTCAACTAAAAAAAACTTCATAAAAAGGAATACGTGTCAACTTATAAAAAAATGGAGCTACGTATATGTTAGCAAATACTCCGTATACAGGATAACATTCTTGAAATTAAGTTAAAATTTGTCATATGAAAGTGGGCCAAGGTGAAAGGGATTTTGGTGGAACATATGGTGGCAAAAAGTAGCACTACGTGCATAATAGTACACAAAAAGTACTATTAAAACAACTTATACTTAATGGTATATTATACATGGATAATAGTACACATGAATGTACTACTATAGCATAATAGTACACATGAATGTACCACTGTAGAAAACATCAAACGAAAAAAAATAAAAAACCTAAAATGCCCTCCTATATACATGCTTAATAAATAGGTTCTATGCACCTATATGCACTAGGTCATGTCGGTTTGTGCCCCCTTAGAGCATTCCCATCAGTGAGGAGAATTTTGCTCATGAGCAAAATTGCAATATTAGCTTCCCCACCAATGAGCAAATCAAAATATGCTCATGAGCATAATTAAATTTGCTCATCCTATGAGCAAAAATGAAAGTGAATAGTGAATTCGTGGGGCCCAGCAAGTGTACAAACTGACATTTTTTTTTTGCTTTTGACACCCTCAAAATGACGTGTTTTGAGGTTTGGTTATGAAGACCTTCCCCCAAAACGACGCGTTTTGAAGGCAGCAAAGGAAAAAAAAATTAATGGCAACTGCTGATAGGGGCGCGTCAGTCCAGCGAATGGGAAGCTGACACGCGTCCCTGTCAGCTTGTTCAACCAATCAGAAAATGTTACCGTTTTGCAACGGTAATTAAATTAAAACGGTAATTTGGCCGTTTTATAATATATAAAAAAAATTCATCAACGGTTATATATTTTTTTTCTCTACAAATAGAGATCCATTTTGACATATTTTGGTATAATTTCAAAAATCACAAAAACACTCTATATTACTCTTAATCCCATTTCTAGTGAGTTTTATGTTATATTTTCCAATATAAAGTTGAGAAAGGTTAATTTTTTTTTTGGTTTATTATTTTTAATTAATATTTTTAGTACTCTAATATTTTTACAAAACGTTATTAATGATATTTTAAGTAGCAATATTTTGTTTTACTTTAAAAAATCCAAAAAAACTTTTTATTATTTTTACTCCCAAGTGTAGTTAGATTAAATTTTCATTTTCTAATATAAAATTTTCATTTTCTAATATTAAAAATATATACGTAATTACTTTTTGTAGTACTCAAAAATTATTTAAAACGTTATTAACGTTATTTTATTTTAATTTAGGTGTGCAGATCAAGATTTATGGATTTGGCATGCGTTCTTTGGAATCCCGGGATCTTGTAATGATCTAAATGTTCTTTACCGATCTCCGGTCTTTGATGATGTTCTTCATGGTCGGGCACCTCCAATTCATTTCACCGTGAAAGACCATGAATACAAGTTACTTAGCAGATGGCATTTACCCAAAATGGGATACTTTTATCCAAGGTATAACACTTCCACAACTTCAAAAGGATAAATTATTTGCTGATAAACAAGCTGCAGCTCGGACGGACGTTGAACGGGTTTTTGGGGTTTTACAGGCTAGGTTTGCCATTCTACGACAATCGTCCCTTGCGTTTAACGAAGACATATTGTGTGACATAATGAAAGCTTGTATCATTATGCACAACATGATTGTCAAAGATGAACGACACAACTATACTCGGGCCGAAGTTTTAAGAAGGTATTATGAACAATATCGCCCGCAAATTACAAGACCCACTACAAGTGCTACAGTTAACAACAACGAGCCTTTTGAATTCAATGTTGGCCGACCGCCAAACGTTGATTTTGACACGTACGTCCACAGAAGAATGTCACTACGTGATAGAGACACTCATGTTCAATTAAAAGCGGATTTAGTGGAACACATTTGGCAAAAATATGGTTCTATTAATGAGTAAAAATAAATAAATTTGTAGTAAGATTACAATTTAATAGAGTCTTAATCGTACGTTAAAAATCTAGGTTCGTTATTGGTTTGTAGTATTAAATGTAGTCGTATGCCAATTAAATTTTATGTTGTATTAAATATATAATTAATTAGCGATTAAAATTTCAATATTATGAATTAATATTTAATAATTGTATTAAATTAAATAATAGTATAATTGTAATTAGTAGCCCTAAAAATTCATTTAACCATTCATTCTTCATTTGAAACTAGAGTTAGAAACTCCCTCGAAAGAAAGGGCGAACTCTCTAGCGTGCTTAGGGTTTTACTGCCGGTTTTAGCCCGTGTTTGGTGCTCTGTTTTTCTCTGATTACTGCTAGTATGGGTGATGAATTGGCTTCTCGCTATGCTAATTTATCGATTAATGAAGACGAAGGACCTGTAATTGATTTAGGCGCTGTGAATTCGTTGGTTCAGACTGAGAAATTTCACCTTATGCTCATTGGGAAGATAGTGACTGATCGACCGTATAATGTGGAGGCTTTCAAGAGTACAATGACGAAGTCGTGGGCGTTGTCTGATAAAATCTTAATTAGGGTTCTTAGCCCTAACCTCTTTGCTTTTAAATTCTTTCATTGGAGAGACAAGGAGAAAGTTTTGAATGGACGACCGTGGTGTTTCGATAATATGCTTTTGTTGCTTAAAGAGATTGAAGGTGATGAGCAGCCAGAGCAGGTCTCTCTCGTGTTTTCGCCGTTCTGGGTTTGAATTAAGAATTTACCTTTTAATTGCCGTACTGATGATGATGTGAAGGAGATTGTGTCTAGTATAGGTGACATAGTCGAATTGGAGGAAGATGTGTTGGGTCTTGATCGATTTCGAAGAGTGAAACTGATGCTTAATGTCCATAAACCTCTGCGAAGGTACCAGAAAATTCGTGATAAAGGGGGTAGAAAGGTGACTGTGGAATTTGCTTATGAGAGGCTTCCTTTTTTCTGCTATGCTTGTGGAGTGATTGGACACTCGGAGAGGGACTGTGGTCAAATTTCTGAAGACAGCAAGAAGAAGAAGCTAGGGTGGGGGAGGTGGTTGAAGGCGTCACCGAGAAAGGGGAGGTTGAAGGAGGTGGAAGAACTTGATGCAGTCTTGGAGTCTCGAAAGAAGCTATTTTTTACGAAAGAGGAGGAACGGGAGGGGTTATCAAAGGGTGTGGAGAGTGAGGTTGGAGGTGGCCAAACAATTGAGAAATCAGGGGAGTTGGTTGTTGGTGAGGGAAGGAGTGGATTTAAGGAGAAGTTAGTGGGAAAAGTTGTAATGCTGAGTGATAATGAGGCAAATGATTGTGTAGGCTTGACTCCTGTAGTGGGGCAGGGTTTGGTAGCTGGTAGGGAGAATATTAGTGATGGAGAAAGGTCTCATGGTGGGGTAGGGTCTAGGGAGTTTGTTTATGGGGAGGATGGTGGTAATGCTTTTGAAACAAGTGACCCTAGGAGTCAGCAGTTGCAATTTAATATAGGGAAATGGGGTAATAATGTGAAGGCAGCAGGGAGGAAGTGGCGTCAACTGGGAAAAGAGAAGGGAGGTTGTGGGGGGAGCTCTATGGGGATAGATGGAGACAAAATGTTAGGAAAAAGGGTGAGAAATAATATAGATGATGAGGTGGCCTTGGAACATGGAAGCAAGAAAGTGATGCATACCGATGACAATAATGGATTGCGGTTGACGGAGTCTGTCGATGAGCAGCTCCGCCGAGCTCAATGAGTATTTTAAGTCTTAGCTGTAGAGGGTTGGGCAATCCCTCTGCAGTTAATTACCTTTGGGATTTAATCCGAAGGTAAGCCCCATCTTTGATATTTTTATCAGAGAAAAAGTTGAGTGGTATTGAATTTCGTAGAGTCCGGGATAGACTTGGTGATTTCGAAGGTGTTGAAGTTGACTCTATGGGTCGCTCGGGTGGCCTTGCATTGTTGTGGAGAAAGGGGTTAGATGTTGTTTTACAATCCATGTCTGTTCACCATATTGATGTAGAGGTTCGTGGTGGTCTTGGTGATATGTTATGGAGAATGACTGGTTTCTATGGTTGGCCGGAGGTTCAGAACCGTCATTTATCTTGGAGTTTGCTTCGTGAACTTGCTAGTCATTCTACTCTTCCATGGATGTGTATTGGGGATTTTAATGAGATTTTGTATGAATCGAAAAAAAGTGGTGTTAATGACAGAGCGGAATGGCAAATGTCTAACTTTCGAGATGCGATTAATTTTTGTGGATTTTCTTGTATCCCGTTTTTGGGGTACGAATTCACTTATGATAATGGTAGGGGGGAGGGGGAAAATTATCAGAGTAGGCTTGACAGGGCCCTTGCTACGGTTGGTTGGAATGATTTTTTCCCTAATGCTCATGTTGTTCACTTGGATAGAGAGTGGTCAGACCACTCTCCAATTAAGCTCCTCTTACATAATCGTGAGAATGGTAGACTTGGTGATAAGCCATTTCGATTCGAACAGTTCTGGAAGTCTGCTGATGGTTGTGAGAGGGTTGTTGAGGCGGCTTGGGGGGGTAGCGTGGATTTGGAGGCAAAGATGAATATTTGTGCAAGAGAGCTCAAGCAGTGGAGTGATACTAAATTTGGTGATGTTTTTAGAGAGTTGAGAAAGAAGCGCAAGAATTTAAAGAAGTTAAATAGAGGGGGACTTTCGGCTACTCAGCTTGAGCAGCGTCGAAGGCTTTTGTGGGATATTGAGGGTCTCATTGCTCATGAGGAGACTTATTGGAGGCAAAGATCCCGGGTTTTATGGCTTTCGGAAGGTGATAAAAATACGAAATTTTTTCACCAAAGGACATCAAGCAGGAAGCGGAGGAATACGATAAAAAAGTTGAATCTTGATGATGGTGGTGTTGTGACGGGTGATGATGATATAGGGGAGGCAGCAGTGACATATTTTCGTGATCTATTTTCTTCCTCTAATCCTACTCTGATCGATCAAGCTCTTCATGGCTTCCAGACGAGAGTGACGGATGATATGAACAACACTTTGAGGGCCAATTATACGGGTGAAGAGGTGAAGCAAGCTTTGAGTCAGATGCATCCTATTAAAGCCCCAGGGCCGGATGGTATGTGTCCTTTATTTTTTCAGTCATATTGGCATATTGTGGGTCCGTCAGTTACTAGTCTTGTGCTCAATATTTTGCGTGGAGCTCCAATTCCATCGTATTTGAATAAGACTTACATTGCCCTTATTCCGAAGAATAATAATGCGGATCGTATGGTGGATTTTAGACCTATTTCTTTGTGCAATGTGGTTTATAAGTTAGTGTCAAAAGTCCTTGCAAATAAGTTGAAGGTTTTCCTTGATAAAATAATTGCGGTGAATCAGAGTGCATTTACTCCGGGTCGGTTGATTACGGATAATATTCTGGTGGCTTTTGAACTCTTCCACTATATGAAAAATTTGCCGAATAAGGGGGGTTGTATGGCTATGAAGTTAGATATGTCAAAGGCGTATGATCGTATTGAGTGGGATTTTCTCGATGCAGTATTAGAGAGGTTCGGTTTTGATGATGGTTGGCGAAGGTGTGTAATGGGTTGTGTGCGTTCGGTTTCTTTTTCTGTTCTTATTAATGGTCGGCCGTCGGATGAGTTTGTGCTAAATAGGGGGATTCGTCAAGGGGATCCAATTTCTCCGTACTTATTTATTCTGTGTGCAGAGGTGTTCTCTCATTTTCTTAGAAGTGCGGAGGAGCGTGGTAGCCTTCACGGGATTCGTATTGCTCCAACGGCTTCTTCTATTAATCTTTGCTTTTTGCGGATGATTGCATTATTTTTTCTAAAGCTTCTTTGGGTGATGTGGAGGTGATAAAAGCAGTTCTTGAGACCTATGAGTTTTCTTCTGGGCAAAAAATAAATTTTGACAAGACAACTGTTTCCTTTAGTAAAGGTGTGCCGGAAGGTAGGAGAGAAGAGGTAGAAAATATGCTAGGGGTTCGAATGGTTGACATTCATGATCGTTATTTGGGGCTTCCTACGGTGGTGGGCAGGTCGAAAAAGGTGATAACTAAAGGAGTGAAAGAGAAACTTTGGAAGAAGCTCCAAGGTTGGAAGGGGATGGTGTTATCTAAGGCGGGTTGGGAGGTTATGATAAAGGAAGTGGCCCAATCTCTCCCTACCTACGCGATGAGTGTATTTAAATTACCATCTTCTTTTTGTGATGAGTTGAGGTCTCTTGTGGCTCAATTTTGGTGGGGGAAAAAGCAAGGAGAAAGGAAGATACATTGGCTTTCTTGGAAGAAGCTTTGTAGGCCGAAAAAGGAAGGGGGGATGGGATTGCGTGATCCTAAACTTTTTAATTGGGCCCTTTTAGGAAAACAAGCTTGGAGATTGGTGTTGAAGCCGGGCACTTTGATCGAACAGGTGTTAAAGGGTCGGTATTATCCGAATTCTACTTTTATGGAAGCCAATTTGGGAGTCAATTCTAGCTATACTTGGCGGGGCATTGCGGAGGCTAGGTGGGTTGTTAGAAGGGGGATGAGGTGGAGAATCGAGGATGGGGAAAGTGTTCGGGTATGGGCAGACCTGTGGCTTCCTGGTACGCAAACACATAGGGTGTTGTCACCTCGTGGGAATTTTGACTCGGAATTGAAGGTCAGTGAACTCATAGTCTCGAACACGGGTTGCTGGAAGGTTGATGCTGTGTCGCAAACTTTTCTTCCTTTTGAGGTAGAGAGGGTCTTGAGTATTCCGATTAGTAAAAGGCTTCCATGTGATGTTTTATGCTGGGATTTAGAAAAGAAGGGCTCGTATTCTGTCAAGTCGGCTTATCGTGCCTTGTTTGATGATGAATGGAAGAGGGATGAAGCGGCTCCAACTACGGTTTGCACTATTTGAAAAAAGATATGGCAGCTTGAGGTGCTCCCTAGAGTTAAAGTCTTTGCGTGGAGAGGTTGTCAAAATGCTCTTCCAACTCGGTGTGGGCTCCAAACTCGTATTAGTGACTATGATCCTGAGTGTGGAATCTGCAATAGGGGTTTTGAATCTACCATTCATGCTCTAAAGGAGTGTACAGGTGCGAAGGCCATATGGGATGCAAGTGAGCTAAGTTTTGTTGCTGAGATGCGTATGCATACTGTGCTTGATTGGTGGGAGTCGTGTTTTTTAGAGCTGAGTGAGAGTGAAGTGGCTGGGATTATTACGCTATGCTGGGCTATCTGGGGTGCTAGAAATTCGATTATGGTGGAGGGTGTGCATAAGCTTCCGGGTGAGGTGGTGCGCTATGCAAGAAAAATTGGAGAGGAACTCTCAAGTGCTAAAGGATCTGGGGTCGTGATGAGGAGGGGGGGAGCTGCTGCTGCTCAGTCTGTCTTTCCCTCGGTGTGGGCTCCTCCTATGGTGGAAGTGGTGAAAGTAAATGTTGATGCGGGTTTTGTGGGGGAGCTTGGATGCGGCTTGGGGGCTGTGGTGAGGGATTCCAGGGGCTCTGTGATAGTTGCTGGTGTGTCGCAGCATAAGGAAAGGTGGGATGTGAAGATGGCAGAAGTGAAGGCTGTCCTTTGGGGCTTGGGTGTGGTGTCCGAGAAGGGAGTGCGAAGGGTTGAAGTTGAGAGTGATTGTTTACAGGTGGTCCAAGCTTTGAAGCAAAAAGAGACAGGGGTTAGTGAGTTTCATATGCTGCTAGAGGATATTTTTCATATTTGTAATAATTTTGATGAAGTCTTGTTTAAATTTTTGAAGAGAGGAGGGAATAGAGTGGCTCATGAGTTGGCTCGTTACCAACCATGGGAGTATGGCCAACGTATGTGGCTGAATGTAATCCCGACTCGATCGTATCCTCGATGTAGCTTTGCTTGATAATTAATATTAATCCCATTCTGTGGGTTCTTTCAAAAAAAAAAATCATTTAACCAAAACATAATAAATAATAGTAGGGTGATGTGTAAGAGAGAGATATTGGTGGGGTATGTGAAAAAGTAGGAGAGAGATTGATGAGCATTTTTTTTTGCTCACTAATGGGATAAAATTTGCTCACTAAAAATGCTCATGAGCAAATTTAGTTGGGAAGAGAGAGAAAGTGGGTAGAGAGAGAATGAGGAGAATTTTTTTTGCTCACTAGTGGAGATGCTCTTACTAAGACCTAAGCTAAAACTAATTCTAATGCAATTTGTTATGCTGGGTGATCATGCCTTGTCCTCTAAATAAAAATTGTGGCTCATAATCTGACATGACTCGATCCACTAAGACACAACATCACTGTAGTGTGTGAGTTGTGTTTACCTCATGTACATGAGTAACATGACGTATTGAGCTTTTTTTCATTCGTGATAGATTGTTAGATTGTGTTATGCCACAGGCCAATCTGACTCAATGTTATCTTTACCCAATTTTTTTTTTTTTTTAAAAGTATAATTTAGTCTCTAAGTAATACATCTTGAGAGAAAGTAAGCTCGAGATCCTAGTAATTTGATCTCATGATTTAAAATTACAAGAATATATGCAATCCACTAGATTAAGAAAAACTTTAATTTGTTTGTTTTTCAGATCACCAAACGAGAAAAACCAAAGGGACAAACTATGTTAACTATAGTTTTTTTCATTTGGTAATAATAAAAAAAGTATCATACAATATTATAAGCTGATCATACAATATTATAAGCTGCATTAGGGTCATATTCACAGATTTTATTTGACTAAGGAGTATGATTTTTAAGGTTTCAAATTAGCTTTAGCCTTGAATTTGTGACAAAGTTGTATTTGTCTTCTTCTCTCTTTTAGTTCAAGCTACATAGTATTGATATAGATATACAAGCACTGTCAAAACGGTTTCACAGTTCGGGTTTGGTTCGGTTTGAAATCGATTCGGTACTAAATCGGGTCGGTTTGAAATCGATTTAAGTGTCTCGCGGGTCGGTTCCTGTTCGGTTTAAATAGTTATCGGTTTGATTCGGTTTCGATTTATTCTTCAGCGGTTTTAATTCGGTTCGGGTTGTAAACAATCCGGGTAGTAAACGGTTTGGTACAGACGGGTTGCAGTTTGTTAACGGTTCGGTGTAAACGGTTTTTATCCCGGTTCAAACAGTTTCGGGTTGGAAAAGGTTTCGGGTTGGAAACGGTTTCGAGTTAGAAACAGCTCGGTTCTTTTTCGGTTCAGTTTATAACTAGTTCGGGTTTTTTTTCGATTCAGTTTATAATTGGTTCGGTTCTTTTTCGGTTCAGTACTTCAATATATAACTGGTTCAGTTCTTTTTCGGTTCAATTTGGCAGGAGGATTTTAGTGGCAGGAAAATATATTATACTATGATAATAAATTTTTAATAAAAATTAATTTGGCAGGAAGAATTTTTATACTATGATAATTAAATTTCATTTAAAACACTTAACTTGATTTTAATATTCTCTTTATAGTAAGCAATTTGTAGCCGAGTTGTTTATAAGCGGTCCGGTTCATAAATGGTTCGATTTGCAAGCGGTTCGTTTATAAACGGTTTGCTTTATATACAGTTCGGTGCAAACAAGTCACAGGTTGTTAACGGTTCGGTGAAAACGATTTTATCCCGGTTCAAACGGTTCGGGTTGAAAGCGGTTTCGGGTTAGAAACAGTTCGGTTCTTTTTCGGTTCGGTTTGATTTCAGTTCGATTTAGAACTGGTTCGTTTCATTAACGGGTTCGGTTCTTATACGGTGTAACTTTATTCGGATCGATTCGGTTTTGGGTTCATTCACATACGATTCGGGACGGTTTTCGGTTTCAAAAAAACGGTTTTAAATCGGTTCGGTTCTCATTTGGGTCAGTTTGTTTCGGGCAGTTAAACAGTTTTGGTTTGAAATTTGATAGCACTAGATATACTGTGACATATTGTCGTATTTATGAATATAAGTGATGCAAGTTCTGTATATGTCTATTCAAAGTTAGTGATTATACATTAAAAGTAAGTTAAAAGGGTCATATTGTTTTTCTTAAGAAGTATTTTATAAAAAGATTGAGAGAGGGATAGTTTAAGTGGTTAGCGGCTTAGAGCTCCCTCTCGACTTTAGGGAATTTTATGATTAATTCTCATCTCCGTTCTTATGGCTCTCTATTAATAAAAAAAATAATAAATAAATAAAAAAAAACTTTTTAAGGACAACTTATTATTACTCAATGGTGTTGTATTTTCCCCCAATGATTTGACATACATAGTACAACAATTGGCTTGATTTCATCATGAACGGTATGCAACATAAATATATGTTATAACGGATGCAAGAAAGACCAAATATAGAATGTTAAATTGGCAACAAAAAACATACACAAATTTACGTGGTTCATCAACGATATGTTGGCTACGTTCACGGGCACGCGAGAATAGTAGTTTTAAAAATCTAGGGGAAAACAAAATATGTACAGATTCATAACAGATTTGAAACTAATAACAGAAAACACATTGATTTGTGTGATTCCGGTTTTGTGTGAGTCCGTTTCATATGAGTTCAGTTTATAATGCATACTCTCATCCTCTACCCACTGTCATTGCCAGCCACTGTCAGCAGCCAGTGACCTTCTCCCTCCTATTCCCCGGTGCCGGCGACCCTCCCCCACCCATGCCCCCAGACATCGGCGACCCTGCTTCTGTTAAACCACGGAGAAGTTGAGCGGATGTCAAGAGATCGAACATGGTGAGCACCTCGTCGGAGAAGTTCTTACTCGTATTATCTATTTGAAAGAGTAGTAGTTGTAGACATTGTAGTAATACAAGCATGAGGAAGTTCTCCGACTACAAACATAATACTATTATAATCCTGAAAATACTAATAATTTTGGCCCGATCCTTAATTATATAGTAGATCAAATTGGTGAATTAAGATCGTAAGTTGATACATACATGCTTGACGTATTAATATCGAAAATAAGATATCAATAACTACAAACGATATTAATATAAAAAGGTAAGCGATCTAAAAGAACAGGTTAAACAAGTTCAACTTGCTTTAACAAACAAAGTTAGGCATCAATTAGGTAAAGAAGTATCACCTAATAAAAAAAATTGTCCCGTATATATATAAGTATCCTTTTCAAAATTTAGATAAAAATAAAAAGTTTACTGTATCACTCCCTAAAAGACCTACTGGTAACCAAGAAAAGAATAAAGAAACTAAAGATGAGCCCTCATCTTCCGGAGAAAACGTTAACGAACTACAAATCTTGTTTGATAAATAAGAAGACCCTGATAAGCTAAACGAAATCATGAACTTAGTTTCTAAAAAAGGAATTTATCCTGAAATCGAGGAAAATACTTATGTTTCTTTAGAAGAAGATCTACAAATGGGATTGATAAAATTAGATGATTTGGACTTTCTACCTATAGAAGTTTTCCAACAAAAGATTGAAAACAAACTAGGAAAAAGAGTAATGGATAATAATAATGTTGGAGAAGAAATTATTAATGAAAGTATTAACGTAAACAATGTTATCCAAAGACCTAGATATCAAGGAGAAGGAAGTTGCACACGACCAAGATACATACCAGGGAAGAGTACCAGGTTTAGTGTCAAGGTTATGCCTAATCATATACCTAAACAAGAAGAAGTGACTCTTGAACCTATAAGTCAAACTGGTTCTACGCTTAATTTAGATGGAGTAAGAGATAGACAAGATGTTTTTGATTAGTGGAAAAAGAGTATGAGTAATGTACTTAATTTAAACAGTGAATGGACTTCTGAAAGTTTCTTAAACAATATCGAACATAGTCTCTATTGCTGTGTAAAGGACTAGTACAATGGAAAAGATGAAGAAGGCAAAACCACATTAAGAGCTAGTGAATCTCCTACTAGAATGTTTAGACAATTATGTCAATACATTAAGTTAGTATTCATTGGTCCTAGAGCTGATCCTAATGAAAAAAAAAATGGAATATCAAAGAAACACTAGTAGAAAAAACGTAATGGCAAGCGATTCAAACCCCCAAATGGAAAGTGGTTCTGAACCGCATGGGTTTAGGGTGCTTGCCAATAGCCATTTAAATGGCAAGCGGTTCAGAACCGCTTGCCATTAGGGGAGAAAGGCAAGCGGTTCGGCGCCAAAATCGCTTGCCATTTGTTTTTTTTTTCCTAAATATATATTAATTAAAAATAATAGTATTAGTGACCTGTTTTGATATACACATTAATCTGTAATTTTAAAAATTATTATTATTATTAATATTATTAATAATATTAATTAATAATAATAATTAATAATAATTAAAATATTACAAATTTAAGAATAATAATTCAATAACAATAAAATGCATAATAATAATAACATATATAACACTCACAAATAATATATAGTACTAATTACATATAATTAATGTACATATAAAACAAAAAAAAAAGATAGTAACTAAATATTAATTGTTCATAATAACAAAAAAACTCAATCTCACTATCTAATACATATTATTCTACCTAGATGCCATCAAATGTCACGAAAAAAAGCCCACATGTGGCAAATTTCATCAAATTCTTCCCTTGTTAACGAGCCTTCCCTTTGAATCTTGCAAACCTTTGAAAAAAAAACCCAAACATTAAACATCATTCATATTAGATAAAATTCAAACTAAATAATAATGTATATGTTAAATATTTCAAACATCATTCATATTCATATTACATCACTCTATTAGGTGTCTATGGTTTGAAATCACATCAAAAGAGGGTTTTGTAATTTATAGGACGATTTTTATCAAAAGTCTCCCAAATAAGCCCTATTTGAATTCTACTTTGCCCAATTTCTACATTTCTTATCTAATGAACTATTTCTTTATCATAACATGTCAATATTAACTATTCGTAGGTTTATAATGTTTGAAATCATAGCAAATTAGCATTGTACTAAGTTTTAGGACGGCTTTTACCCAAAATCGCCTATTTGACTTCTACTTTGCCCGATTTCTACATTTCTTATCAATGAACTATTTCTTTATCATAACATGTCAATATTAACTAGTCTTAGGTGTCTAATGTTTGAAATCATAACAAATTAGCATTCTACTAAGTTTTAGGACGACTTTTACCCAAAATCGGCTATTCAACTTCTATTTGCCCATGTTTTACATTTCTTATCTAATGAACTATTTATTTATCATAACATGTCATTATTAAATGGTATTAGGTGTTTAATGTTTGAAATCATATCAAAAGATCATTTTACTAAGTTTTAGGACGGCTTTTACCCAAAATCGGCTATCCCACTTCTACTTGCCCATTTTTTACATTTTATTTTGTTTGAACTTTTTTTCTCATACCATGCCCATATTACCTAGTCTTAGGCATGTAAGTTATGATATCACATAAAATGAGCACCCAACTAAGTTTTAGTAAGATTTTTAACAAAAATCGGCGTAAGTGACTTATTTAGCTTATTCACTAACAATTACGCAAAAAGTACACAAAATTGCATAAGGTGCCAATGACAAGGCCAAAAAATTAATCCCCGGGCTGCTTCTCATGGCAGCTGCAGCTGCTCGGTTGCTTCCACGGCTGCTGCCTGGGCAGCAACCTGGTGGCTGATGCAGCTGGCTGTGCTGCTGCAGCTGCAGCTGCCTGGGCAATTGCCTGGCTGCTGCTGCAACTGCCTGTTGGCTGCTACAGTGGCCTGGGCAGTTGCCTGGATGCTGCTGCAGCTGCCTGGGAAGTTGCCTGGCTGCTGCTGCAGCTGCCTGGCATAACCTAAGGCCGTTGCCTTGGGTGCTGTAGTTGCCTCGGGTGCTGTAGTTGCCTCGGGTACTCACTTTCCCTTTTTCTACATTTTCTTTCAAATGACCTAATTTTTACTTAGAGCATACCCATATTAACTAGTCTTGGGTGTCTAAGGTCTGTAATCACATCAAAAGATGGTTTTACTAAGTTTTAGGACGGCTTTTACCCAAAATCGTCTATTTGACTTCTACTTTGCCCGATTTCTACATTTCTTATCTAATGAACTATTTCTTTATCATAACATGTCAATATTAACTAGTATTAGGTGTCTAATGTTTGAAATCATCGCAAATTAGCATTCTACTAAGTTTTAGGACGTCTTTTACCCAAAATCTCCTATTTGACTTCTACTTTGCCCGATTTCTACATTTCTTATCCGATGAACTATTTATTTATCATAACATGTCATTATTAACTAGTCTTAGGTGTCTAATGTTTGAAATTATATCAAATGATCATTTTACTAATTTTTAGGACAACTTTTACCCAAAATCGGGTATTTGAGTTCTACTTTGCCCGATTTCTACATTTCTTATCTAATGAACTATTTCTTTATCATAACATGTCAATATTAACTAGTCTTAGGTGTCTAATGTTTGAAATCATAGCAAATTTGCATTCTACTAAGTTTTAGGATGACTTTTATTTAAAATCGGCTATTTGACTTCTACTTAGCCCTATTTCTACATTTCTTATCTAATGAACTATTTCTTTATCATAACATGTCAATATGAACTAGTCTTAGGTGTCTAATGTTTGAAATCATAGCAAATTAGCATTCTACTTAGTTTTAGGACGACTTTTATCCAAAATCGAACAAAAAAAATAGGTACCTCCTCAATGTGTTGAGCTTCAGTGCACCTATTGACTATGTCAAGCATAAACCTCATCACGTACAGGGCACAATCAATGTCGTTGTCTTGTTGCGCACACTAACATGACACAAAGTTAAACTAGTCATGCATAGCCATAACTCAAGGCAATTTTTTTTAAATAAATCACTATATCAAGGCTTTACCTTCGAATATTTCCACGTAGGACCCGCAACCGAACGACAATTCAACTTCTTCGTAACACTTAAAAAAAAGCATAAATTTAGGAACATATCCACTCAATGACTTAGGTGATGATATAAAACAATAGGAAGCGGTATGTACCTATTCAATAGGTTATTCACTAGCAACTTCCTTGGTGGCCATATACGAGCCGAGTCAAAGTAGTAGATTGTGTTATTGGAAACACAAATCACCATAAGGCTCCAATGAAGAATACATATATATTAAAGAAAATATCAATCCATCAATTGTTATACGTCAACATCTATACTTAACAAACAACTTTAGAGTGACATATTTAAACTTACTCCTCAAAGCAGGGGCTAATATGAACTTGTTTTCCGCACGCATTGATTCTCTAATACCTCGCTCAAGGTAATCTATCACATCACGAGGGTTATGCAAGCATTTGGTTATGGAGGTCTGCTCGCGGCATAACCACCCAACTGCCGCTTCACCATCGGGTTTACTACTTAGGAGCTCCTGTAGTGACCTTCAAGAAAGTAATGTGTGCAAGTAATGACTATTTGCATTGTTTTGGTACGAAAATATCAAAAATACAATATGTTTAGAATTAGTCTCATTAATTTACCTCATGAAAGTCTGAATGATGGAAATTTTAAGCATGGAACCGGTTAGAAATTCCGTCACATCCTCTCTAGAAATGTATACGATCGCATCCTCATCGTAGTGGAACAATGCCTTAGGCAAGTTCACTTGAATATGTGTACCCACAGGAAACTCACTAACACGGTTGTGAAGAAAAGTACATGCTTTTGAAAGTGACTTAAGGACATTGGCTTCTACCAGTGGAGTACAAGAAGCTCTCGAACTCTTCTTCGACACTTGTCCTTGTTCCATGTTCGGAGGACCTTCTTCCTTGGATTTTGGCTTCTCAACCTTCTTCCTTTTAGCGGACTGATTTTCCATAGTAATCTAGTAACATAAAAGAACATGGTCATTGCACAAAGCACATGTTAATATAGTTACATACAAGTAGAGTATACTTACCCCTCCTACCAACCTCAGCCGATCACGTGGCCATTGCACAAAGCTACCGGTCGTGTCACGCAGCTTAAAAAAATCATATTCCTCTCTAGGAACCGGTAGTGGTAAGTCCTCAAACCCAACAACTATAGAATCGATCCCGGCCGAGATGTAGTGGGTGCTAGTAGTAGACTTATAATGGACCTTGTCAAAAGGTTGTGCACTACCATACCCCACCAACTGCAACTGTCCATCCTTTTTTTTCCCGGGGTGAAGAAGCTCACAAGGCGTCTCTTCCTACATATTTGATTAGGAGTTGGGACATAAGTTATGAAATAACAAACGAAAGCCTAACATAAGAAAAGTTGATTATGTAGTGAAGTTTACCTTAACATCTGGGAAAGGTTCAGGCATCGGATTTGCTCTCTTCATTGACTCTGCATCCATAGGACTAGGATCCTGCAAAAGTAAAATAATTAAGCATGAAAAAGACCTCGTTTGAAGAAATTCATATGACGTAATTTATCCTCGCACTAAAATTACCTCTCTCTCAACTACTGGATCGTCCACGGGGCCTCCTGGGTGACTACATGAGTCTACCGGAGTACTCGAGGGTAATGGAAAAATCGGCAAGTTCATGTGCTTCAGAATGGCATTGAATTGACTTTGCATCTGTTCTTGCAGCTCCACGCGTATCTTTGACTTAATTGATTCCTTTTCCTTCTCATCAATACGATGTGGCAAATTAACACTTGATCCGCTTTTTCCTGATTTGGTGTATTATGAACCCATCACCTTCTCCCACCCTAGTTGTTTCCCGCTAGAACCAATTACTCGCCCAGGGTTTGTTGGTTTTCCCAAAGCTAAGGTGAAAGGATCTTTTTCA